GGGAGTTGAAGTCCACACCTTTTAAAGTTGCCAACTTTGAGAAATGGTCTAGTCCAACCTCTGCAGTATGGACCATTTCATTGTTGTGCAGATCTTGCCATGACAAAGTTCTTCTATCTAAGCAACTCGTACCCCTTATTTCTGGTCCTAGTTTCTGTGATCATGGAAAATGATTCTTCCAGGTATATTATTTATCACCCAAACATTTATGCTGAGCAAGCCACTTCCGCATCTATCCATGGATTCTGAACCTTGAGAGAATTGGCTATCAACTACGGTTCTGTGGCCGAGAAGACACCCGTGGGTGTCCTGGGCTGCCAGAGTTGGATTTATTCCTTGCCTTTTTCTACCCTTCCTGGAAAGGGAAGAAATTCTCATAGGATTGTAGAATTGTGGGGTTGAGAGGGACCCCCAGGATCCTCTAGTCCAAACTTCTGCAATGGGCAGGGATACCAAGTCAACCATCCTTGATGGGTGGCTGTCCAGCCTCTTCTCAAAAACTTCCAGAGATGGAGAACCCCAATATATATAAATGGAATCTAGGGAACTGTAATTTACACCCACTGTGTAGATTGGATTTCAGCTCCCATCATCCTTGGGCAGAAGAGACTGGCTATTCTGGGACGGACAGTTTCCTCTGTTGCTTTCTCTTACGAATGAGGCTAGAGATAAAATGGGAGCCTGTATCTTTAAGATATCCTGAATCTCCTTCTGACTGGCTTCTAAGGAAATGGGATAAATTGAGACACAAACAAAAGAAAATTGGATGTGATGGGAATAATCTATAGAAAAATGTCCCCCGTGAAATTGCTGTATTATTCAAGGATTATCATTTGCGAAGAAATCGCAGAAGAGTAGAGCCCTATTGGATAAGGGATGAAAAAAATGGAGTTGTTTCTATTTTCATTGGGGGGAAAAACAATATAAAATCTTTGCTTTTCTCGCGTGGACAAGACTCTGGCAAAGAAATACGGTATTGTAGATTTGTTTGGAATACATTAAAAAACATAACAGCGTTGTAATTCCGGCCATGCAATAAGCGTGTAATTATCAGGTAAGACGTCAGCACACGTTTGTGTTGCTTTTGACTCTCAGGCAGCATTGGCTGCTTAAAAGCACCGGGGGTCTTTTTCCGAGATTGGATCCCTCTGACTTCCCTAACCCCCCCGCCCCATTTCCCCCGCTGCTATTCCAGGTGATGTGGTTGCCCAGCTGGGAGAGGAATCTCGTCCAAGAAATTGCCCCCGGTTTCCAGCAGACCTGCGGGAAGAAGGCCGACGCTCAGCGGTTGAGGGACGGAGGTTTTCGGAAGCTCAACCTGCGATACACCAAGGTCACCAGCGAGGACATCAGGTTGGGTTCGTGGCTTTTACCGTTGCAAATCTGGCCCAGGTCTGGCGTTCGGAAACAGCGCGGGATGGGCGATGTGCTGTTTCTGGATGGCACTGGCCTTCCCGGAGGAGACTCTCCATACGCGGCCCTGGTATTCCCTTGAGGCTGTGCTTCTGAAGATGTTCAGCTCTAGCTATGCTCGTTTACGTGGATGTAGATAGGTACGGCACAGGTTGTCTTCGTTTAGCAACCACAATTGGGACCGGCAACTCAGTCGTTAAGCAAAGTGATCACTAAGTGAACTGTGACTGTACTTACGGTCTTCCTTCAGCTTTCCCTTCCTCCACCAACGCTGGCAGGGCAACTACTGAATATAAACAGGGGGCAAATCCCACACTCACTAGCACTGATGATGTTACCTAGTCGGGTAATGAAGCATCTGCAAGCAAACAGCCAAACTCAGAGAGTACCAAGGACCCCACAGTTCAGTATCCTCTACAGATATCCTCTTCTATTGGATCTTACTTAGAACTTGTACAGGTAGTCCTCACTTAACAACCATTCAGTTACGGCAGCATTGAACAAAGGGACTTTTGACTGCTCCCCGAAGTTATGGCCGTTGCAATGCCCCTGTGATCATGTGATCAAAAATTGGGTGCTTGGCAGCCCACCCATGCTTACAACCACAGAGGCGCTTCAACTGCTCCCCGGCCTCTCCCACCCCCATTTCCGCCCTTTTGGCCCCCTGCACTCCGCAGCCCCTGCCGCCCCAGCTAGTCTTTGCTGTCTTCTTGCTCCCACTGCTGACCAAGCATGCCCAGACTGACCCTTCGCGAGGCAGCTGCTGGCCACACGAGGATTTCTTCCCAAGGTTGCACGCGGCAGTTGCCTCGTGGGACCCGGGAAAGAAGCCCCCGATCCACAGCGTGGCTGGCAGTCCCAGACCCGCTGCAAGGCAGGGCGCAGGGCAGCCAAAAGGGCAGAGATGGGGGGAATAGGCAGTTGGGGGGAGTTGAAGGGGAGGCAGTCCCTTACCTTGGCAGAACCGAGGCTCAGGTCTGGGAGGACCAAGCCGGGAATGGGGTGGGTCCTCGGCGAACGACTGGAGGAATTTGGTGAATGCAAATTAATGGAATTAATAAATATGGATATTAATAATTAATATTAATTATTAAATGATTAATAATAAATTTAATGGAAATGGGGCATCTCAGTTTAATCTGCAGATTCAGAGTCCACCGAGTACTTCTTAAAACTGGCCCTTCCCCTCTATTCCTCCCCCTCCATAGGGAATATGTCAGCGCAAACCTGAGCGTCAACTTGTACGTCGTCAATGAACCGTGGCTGTATTCCGTTCTCTGGTGCATGGAGGTCCAGTCGATCACCTCTGACAACGCGCATGTCCTCCGCCGGCTGCCTTCCCCCCTCTGGCTGATGGTAAGCCGGTTTCACCCGTGAATGTTCCTTTGCTGCTGAAAGCAGTCATTTGGATCAGTTGCCCTCTTCCAGATCTTTCCAGCAAGGGGGGAGAGGTTGCCCCCCACTGAATGACTGCCGGCTAAGGGTGAAGGTTAAGAGTTCCCATGTAGATTGCTTGGCAGAAATAAGGAAGATGTTTGCTATTGCCTTCTTCAAAAAAAAAGTATTATTTTTCTTACTTGACAATGTAGCTTCCAACCCTGGGGTTTTCTGGTGGTCTCCCATCCATCCAGGTCTGGACTTGTTTAATTTTCTTTGAGATCAGCCAGTTCCTGCTCTCTAATAAGTGGTGTTTACCTGCTAAGGACCCCAATTGTTATCTGGATTAACTAGCAGCTATGCACGACTACATAGTGCTTCAGAATAAAAGTTAGATATTCCACTGAACGTCTGAATGTTTCTTCACATTGCCAACCCCCCTCCCCCCCCCCCCCCAGATCCTCAGCTATTTTGTGCAGAGTTCTTTTTTCATGGAGCAGAATTTATCTGTCTCCTCCCAGTGCATGAGCAGAAGTAGAGCCCAGTTGGGCTTGGTGTGTTGTGGGAACTCGTGTTACAATTCAGCATATCATGCAAAAGTTCAGTTCAGCGGAGTTTGGGGACCAAATCAGCACGGGGTGGGTGTGTTGTGGGTTGTACATGGCAGTGTACAAAAGGGGCAGGACTTTCGATCACCATGCAGCGCTTGCCACCTTGTACATTCTGGCCCCCTGCAGATGCCAACAGTCAGCTCACTAAGCAGATTAAGCAAGGTGTGTGAACACAGCCACGCGCTTATAAAGCAGTCAAATCCTTGTTCTGTCCTTGGCTCAGGAATTATTGAGAGCAGCCTTCCACCTGATTTGCATAACTTGCATTCTCCCCAGCTGATGGCTATGGGTCGCCGATGAGTCAGCGGCGTAACGATGCTGCAAAAAAGGCAAATGCAGTTTTAGCCTACATTGGTCGAAATACAGTTTCCAAATCACGGGAAGTAATTGTTCTTCTTTGTTCCACATTGGTTGGATCACAAGCTTTCTTGAATATTGTATCCCCTTCCGGGCATCCCGTTTTAAGGAATATTCTGAATGAGGATAGAGAAGACCAACCACATCCAGCTTGCCTTGGTTCATAGATCTTACATTCCAGGTACCTATACAATATTGTT